GTAGGTCTTCTAGTTCTCTTAAGATTGTCTTACTCCTCTTCCTATTCTTCTGTAGTCTCCAAACTCATTTACTTTCTGCATGCAAGCTATTTATTCCCAGTAGAGGTTACGGATTAGTCAAATATCTTCCCCATGTAAATCAAGCTCTTCTAGTATTTCAAATTGCTTTTTGTCATACCTTACCAAATGCATTTCTACAATTTATGAAACATAGGTATAGATCTTACTACATTTTTAGTACTCACTGTGATAGCATTATGATAATTGTTATGGTCCAATATCCTCGCACCACAGTTATGGTCCAAGGTTAGAACCAAGGAAGAACAACACGAACACGAGTAGAATAACAAATATATATTACAACAGAAATATAGTACAAGAAGTTGAAGGTGTTAGTAATGACTGTCCATCTGGTTTAGAGTGAACTAATATTGTCTCGACTCGTTACACCATTCATTCATTATACCTCTTGAGAGGCACAGTATTTATAGTGTTGGGAAGAGCCCATTATCGTTATAGGTAAGTTCCCATAACAATAATAAAGATGGCATTTCTTGTTCCAGTGACTTGAATACAAACCTTACTGTTCTTATCCTATTTCTAGTCTAATTCTGTCTTTGGTTCCAAGTAACTTTGACCCTTTTACCATCTTCTCTCATCTTTTGCTCTGCCATCCATTCACACAAACTCTCTTAAGTAGATTATTTATGTGGCTCATTAAGCTGATTGTCTGATGGAGTTCACATTCATTTGCACCTGTCTTCTTTGGTATTACTAGGAAGATAGATCTATTGAGTTCTTCTGGTATTTCACCACTGTTATATATTTCATTTATTATTTCAGTAATATTATCTCTATTACAATCCCATCTGGTTCTGCCATGTTTTCTGTTCATCTTGGCCAGTGCCAATATTACGTCTGATTTTAAAATTTACAGGTCCTTACATGTTTTTATGTATTGCAAGTTTCACACCTTTATTTTTATAGGAGAAATCTGTTATGTATATGTCAGTCCATCTTTGTAGTCTCTTTCCTTTATCTATTATGAGAGTTCTCATTTTAGATTTTATGCATCTTGTTGAAGAGCACATTTTCTGTACTCCTAATTTCATTTGTCTTTCTGCATGCCTGCCTGTTCTGCTGTTTTATTTTTTGTTTTTTGCACAATTCTCATTAAGCCATTCACCATTTGTTTGCATCTATTTTTAATGTCTTTGTTTAACATTCTATTTTCTCTGCCATTCTTTTTTATTATACTGACCTGTAAATTACATAAAAGAAACTAGTTAATCATAGAAAAATCAACAATATTCATTAGGAATTGCTGTCAACCAATTGTTAATTCTGACTAGTTGCTTTTCATTGCAACTTAACAGCATTGAGCAAACAGTACAGATCTACAGTTTCCTCACTGTCGTAGATTGAAGGCCTGAAAAAATTGTAATAAAATTCAACATAATTCATTTGCTTTTTTGTTTATTAATCAAATATTGATTATCCACAAATATGTTCATCAAGAATACTTTGATTCTGTGTGTTAATGTCATTTTATATCCATAGTTGGGTATATTAACAGTTTGTCAGGGTTAACAAGTGGCGTAACAACTTTTTGCTGCTAGTAGAGTAGTTATAGGAGAATGGTAAGTGGATTCACTTAGTGTTGACTATGGATTGATTGAAGTCTGTTAAAGTTGGGCATGTCTGGGCATGTAATTCTGTGAGTGGGTCATCTAAATGCTCATACACCCTCTTCTTTGCTAATCATTGTGGTATACCAGTTAAGCAGCTTCAACCAGAATTTTGTATTTGATTCACCAATTCCATAACAATAATCTTTACTCTACCCATCACTTCCACACACACATTTTTATATTGAGCTCTCTTTGTGGATCAGTTTTAATATTTTATATTATTAGGATTCAATTGGATTATTTACCTGTGTGTGTGTGTGTGTGTGTGTAATATAAAAGTGGACACTGAATTCAACACCATGCAGCAATAGTCTGTTTCATGCTTGAACACAAACTTCAGGCCATAAACATTGTGTTCATGCATGAAGCAAACTGTCACCATTTGGTGTTGACTTTAGTGTTCACTTTTATATTTACATATCTGACATTGAGCATTTATATCCATAAATATAGCATAACTTAAACTAAAGCTATTTTTTTATCATATATATAGCTGATGTGCTTACGGCCATCACTGAAATTGTCTACCAAGCTCTACAAAATAACAGAAGCTTGTGCCGTGGCCCTAGACATCTCCAAAGCGTTTGATAGGGTCTGGCATGCCGGCCATCTTCACAAGCTCCAGGGTTATGGTATTACAGGTCAATTGTTTGACGTAATACAATCATTCCTATCAAACCGTGAATTGAAGGTCGTTCTCAACAGATTCTCTTCCAGCTCCTATCCCACGAACGCAGGTGTTCCTCAAGGCTCCATCCTAGGCCCTACTCTGTTCCTTATCTTCATCAACGATCTTTCTGACACCATAGATTCCCAAGTTGGCATCTACACAGATTTGTCTGTCTGTAAATAATATAAAAAATATTGAAATAATTTAAACATCTTTGTTGCTTTAATTACAAGTCAATATTATAAAGTTACTTGTGAAAAAATGAGAATTACTTTTGCATATGTGAAGCAGGTTTTAGATTGATTTTAATGTCAATTTTTGTGATGATTGGTGTCTTCTTATAGAAAAATTAAGTTCTATAAAACTTTCCCAAAAATAAAGTAGCCTTTATAGAAATTATAGGATTCAATGAAAATAAATTTAATGATTATTTAATGAAAATAAACTTAATGTTTATTTCACTAGATTATGCAAAATATATTTTTTTGATTTAAATATTCTGAAAAAGATATTTGTTTACAGTGACTGTTACTTGTCAATTCAATTCAAAGGTCAAATGGATATCAACTCAGCATTCCACACTTCCCATGATCTAAATGTGTGGGTGCTTTTAATGGTTAGCAGTTCAGAATGAGAAATGTGAACACTACTCCCAAATTCAAGTTGAGTGTGACAATGTCCTTCGCTTGTCCATCATTCACTGCACCTGTGATGGCATCCAAGATCGGTTGTATGCATATACACCTGGCTAGCTATGTTCACAGGGTTGTCCACTTGGCTGTAATTGAATTCAACAAGGAATAATGACCATTGCTTTTCAAGACTCTCTGGTTTTGAAATATTAACAATACGAATTCTCACTTAGCCATCTGTTTTCCTTCGGCTGAACTGCTATCTCTCTAACTTCCACTGGTCCCTTCCTAACTGGCTGCTGGGTACTTAATCACTCACTGGTCAGCTACCTGCTTACTTACTAACTTGCTGCCTCTCTCTACTTATATGGATACTGGCTGATGTCTGACTACCCCTATCTGTCCTTTGTGTTCTGGAACAAGAGACCTATCATTCAGCATCTTGGGTGGTCAGCTTCTTCAAAGGACTACTTTTATTATCATCTAAAATCATTGACAAAATTTTATGTTTGCCTATTCAAAGGCAGCTGTAGACAGAAATCCTGAAAAACTGTAATACTTAAGTTGACTCAAAGATGGACTGGAGACAAATTTCCTAAGAAACTCAAATAATTAAGTGGACTTGAAAAGGAATTTATGTACTTATCTTCTAAGAATGTGTGAGAAATTGTATTGTTACATGTGTTCCTTACATTCACTTATGCATAAATATCCTTGGCAAAGGTATGAATTCATCTCCTCAACCTAATTAATGAATTTGTGTGAATGAATGGTAGACCAATGACAGAAGGTAAAGGATTAAAAGTTACTTAGAGCAACAAATGACAAGAAGTTGTGGAGACCCATGATCGTTCATGTACCTTCAGGACATGGCACATAAAATAAGTTGTTTATTCAAAACCTTATACTAGATTAAATTTTCAATATTTCAAAATGATAATTTTTTTTAACAACTATGAATGTAACCTAAAAATGAACACACAACCAACCACACCTTTTTTTTTAATCAAAATTATTGACAGACATTTTTCCATTTATGGGAATTCCTCTCTTTATTCTGTATGTGTTTGCTATAAGTCATGATGAAATTGCTGGATACATAAAGGGACATATTTATTTCATTTTATACTTTGGATATAAAATCAACTTTAATTTGACAAATGGTAAATACAGGCTGTTACCAAGTACTACTTTTGGCTCTTGTCATAAATGTTGATAAAATCTTCCAAATGAGTAACCAAGAATTTTCAACTTGACCCGACATCCCAAAATCAATATTTCAATGACCAAACACCAGGATATTTATTTGTACCTTATGCACAATTATGTATGTATGTATGTATGTATGTATGTATGTGTATGTTATATAGTTGTTTGCATGTAGAATGACTCGTATGTTAAATTGCTTCAAGTCAAATAGCAATTTTATGTTTTTTTTTTGTTTTGTGTTTTTTTTGTTTTTTTTTTTTTAAGTAAATCAGTAGTCATCAGAAATAGGGAGATTTATCAGGTTTGATCATCTTATTTGCTGATAAGATTCATGTAACAATGATTCTAAACATTCAAACAAAAAAAAATAAATAAAACTCATGTTGAAATTCATTTTGTAATTAAACTCTTTCTAACTAAAAACTCCTCCCTAGTGAGTGTTGTAGTAAAGAGTAGTTTATTCAATGATACCTGACTTAGTCAACTTTTCATTGGTTAAAGATAAAATTAATAGTAGCATTAGTCAACTTTTCAGGCCATGTCAACAATCTTAAAAAATTTTCTATAAAATCGGTAAAAACCGTCTATTATTTTCCATAAGATTTATTGTCTTTTGTCTAACTGATACATTGTTGCAGAAATAATAAATCATCTTTGAAATCATGAATGAATGATTTTAATTGAGATCAACTCGTTTACCTCCCTTGAATCTTGAACACTAATTGTATTTTATATTTTCTGAGATCAATTTAACATTGCTGCAATAAACTAATGGTTTCTCTTGTTTTTGGATTTTAGACTGAAGGAAAATGGAGTCACAACATTTGGCCGAAGCCCCAAGAATGACTATCTTTTGGATTCTAATTTCCTTAAGAACTTCATTTCTCGGTTCCATTGCAAAGTGGAATGTAGCAAAACATCAAATGGTAAACTGGAGTACAAAATCTTTGATACCAGCCTGAATGGCACATTTGTTAATGACTATCGGGTAAATCAATATTTTGAAGTTTTTATTTTACACTTCAGTCTTTTTCTTGTAGTCACTACATCACTATTTAATTATTGAATTTTCTTTTAAGATTCTAAAGCTGTAAAAATAAATTTAAGGCAAATTTTATAAAGCAATATGAAGATAGTTGATGAGGAAATTAGCAAAAGATTTTATTTTGGGATACAAGTTTTTTGTTTTTTGTATCCAAATCCATTCTTTACAAGAATTTACTGATTAAAATTGTTCATTATATTTAAGGGTTTTAATACTTTATTTTTCATTAAAGGTATCAGCATATAATAAATTATATTTTATTCATACTGTGCTTGTGTGTATGCGTGGGGTAAGGGATAATGGGTTGAAATGAGAATTCGGAGAGGAGAGTTCAAATTCTAGTCAGTTTAATTGCATCCACTTGGGAAAGGTATGAATCCATATTCTCCTCCCAACAATGGATTAAATAGTAGGACTTGTATCTGGAAAAAATCATTGCTATTCTCCACAAAGAATTACTCTTACAATCCAAAATGTTTTGGTTTTAAATAAACAAAAAATCAAACAAATCAAATCCTACTGTGCTTAAGACATTTATCAAAACATTTTTGCTGAAGTGACAAGCGTATTTCACTGGAAATAGGATGAAACCAGGTTCCAATCAACCATCTTTTGCTCTCTTCTGTTCAAAGCATCCTCACACATATCTAAAGACTTTTAAAAAATGAAATATTTTAAAGACAATTTTTTTTTTCTTTGTCAACTTTGAAAATTATTCATACAAGTCATGATTTAAAATTGAATACTTTCTTGTTCATTTGATTGCTATTATCAAGATGTTCATTTGATCAATTTTAGTTGACGGCTGATGGTCATATGTTGTGTCCTGGAGATCGGGTAAATTTTGGGCACTTAAATGGCTTCAACATTAAACCAGGCAATTTAGCTAGACAACCCAAATCAGAATTTCAATTCATTGTAAGTATTTTTAAAATATTCATTTTGATTGCCATTTCTTTCCATAGAACATTCTAAAATATTGACTATGAAACTGTTTGTGTGTGTGTATGTTTTACATTCCTTTTCCTGATATGCTTTATTGAAGGAGAATTTGAGAGGAGCTGTTTGGTCATGTGACCTCAAAAGAATGTCCAATAACCAATATAGACATATGCACACACTAAAATTTCCTTTGTAGAAGATTTTCTCTCTTATTTATATCCTTTATTAAATGTTTGTAACAATTTACAAGAAATATGCTACACAATATATGTTAAAGGTAACCCTGAATTCTTTTGAGATTTACTTTAAAAGATTTTTGTAACTATTTACACTATTTGAACTGTTGTCCTTATTTTTATTGCCATATCCACTGGGTCATGTGTCCTTGACCCAGTGGATAAAAACGTTGGTTGAGTGATCCTAAAAGTGACTTAACCCAAAGAGTTGTGAGTTCAATACCTGGCAAGTTGCCAAGGGGTATTAACTGAAACAGATATTCAAAGGCATGGCATGTGGGATTAGAACAATCTACTCCATGTGGATTAAATAAAGGGTTCAGTTTGAAATTCCAATGTATATCACCTGAAGAAGGCAGGCACTTCTGAAACCTCATGAATATGACAATAAAAATGAGAACAACAGTCTGAACAATATAAATAGTGTAAATAGTTACAATGCCTCATTTCAGAAATTGTAAACAGATGTTGAAAGATTTTTGTCTTACAATATTTGTTTTAGTATCTCTCCAAATTTTTTAAATTCTCTATGATAAACGTTTTCTCTTTTACCTATTGTTGTCTCATTGAGAGTTTATTCAAATTTACAAAAATGCAAATTCATCAATAAACAAAGTAGTTAATTTGAAGAAAAAATCCTTTCAAAATAAATATTTAAACAATGTATTCTTCTTTAAAGTAAAGGAGGAGAAACATTTAATACTGATTGTCATGCAGGAGAGGTTTGTGTTATAAAACTGTGATAGCATTCTTTCTTGGTGATCACTTGCACTGCCAATAAGAGATGAATGAGAAAACGATAGAACTTTAATGGTTGATCTTTTTCTTCGTTTTTTTTTTTTTTTCTTTTCTTTTCTTTTCTTTTTAACTTTTAAAAATGTTTTACTTTTTGGCTGGGAAATAGTTTATTTTTTTCCCTTATTGGAAATGTCTTTTTTACATTGCATTTACTTTAAAAATGCCTTTTAATTTTTGAGATTTTCCCTTTTATGATCTTCAATTTATAACTTAATTTTTTATGTTTTTTATTATCAAAATATATTTAGGTTAATTCTGTCTATTGTTTTTTCAGTTTGAATTTGTGACAGCTAAAGAAGCCTGCTCACCTGAAGCTGCCAATAAAAAGTTGCTATGGAAGAGTCCCTGCTGCAAGAGTGGGCAGGAATGCAGCAGTAAGAAGAAGAGGAAGAAAAAACCTTTAAATATGAAGTCGATTTTGTCCTACTATCAACCCAAATCAAAAATTACTGAGGAAAAGGAAGAAAGCCAGTCCAGTGACTCTTCGGGGCTTGTTTGCTTTATATTTGATGAAAGCACCCATAAGATTCGACGGATTTCTCCATCCCCAAACAAAAATGATTCTCTGTCAACTGTTATAAAAACAAATATGTAAGAATTGCTGGAGTTTTAAATTTTGTGGAATTATCATTACTTACAGACTTACAGTAATGATAATTCCTTTGTTGTTGGTATTACAATGTTTTGGCCTGTGTGCCCTCTGACCATCATCAGGTGTATGTCAATACAGTAACCTACATGTAATTTCAAACTGAACCCTTTATTTAATCTACAGGAGTAGAATGTTCTCATTCCACTTTCCATGGGACATCTTCAATCATTTTGGTACTGCCCAGTTATTGCTTGCCCCATTTCCATTGAGCCCAAGTACACACTACCTGGTCCAGGGATTGAATTCAAAATTACTGTGTCACCAAATCCATTAATCCATTGGCTGTACAACAATTCTTTGTGGAAAACTCGTAGCCTGCTGATAAGTGCTTCTGCTGCTTGTCACACTTGATTTCACTCACTGAAGCTTTTCTATTTTGTTGCAGCTGCTGCTGTTGCTGTTGAAGAGATCTTCTGTCAATGCCTACAACACTGCAAAAATTATAAGTGGAAACCTTGACACATAGCAACAGGAAATGGTCAGCATGACCAAGAACTGCGTATACTCCATTTCTTGAAGGCAAAGGATATAAAGATGAAACTAGCTGCCTCTTAAAAGTAAGGCTGACAGAACATCAAATAAAAATGTAATGAGAGGAGAGACAACGAAATCAGACATAGCTGATCATGTATAGAGGGAAAAGTGTAGTCATCAACTCCCTGTGAAATGAAGTGAAAATGCCTCGACAGGGAAGAACACTGGAAAGTTATTTATTTATATATATATATATATATATATATATATATATATAGTCAAACCTAGTGAGCCAGACAAAACCTACCCAGGTTTCACCTAAGCCAGCTTTCCCTGATGATCGCTTAGGTGAAACCTGGGTAGGGTTTGTCTGGCTCAGTAGGTTTGACTAGGTCTGCTCTACGATTTGTATTGAGCTCTTTGTTTACTCGTGTCAGGGTTTTTTTCTTTGGGCTTTGAACCTGTATCTGTGCGATTTTAAAACCTTTTTTCTTTAAGATTGATTTGATTATTGGCAAATCAAAAGTTCGAAGGTTTTTCGAGACGAGTATAGTTACCTATATATATATATATATATATATATGAAAGAATCCATGCACATGCTTAGGTTATGAGGACCTCCTTAGGTTTAGTATAGAAATAAATACAATATGGGAGCCAATAATAAAGAAAGACAAATGACAGCACACAATTGTTCCATGGGATGGCAATAGTGTAGTGAATTAAAGTGTTGGTTCATGAATTTGGCGACTTTGTAATTGTGAGTTCAATCCCCAGGCCGGGCCAGATATTGTGTATTTGGAGTCGGTGTAAACAGGGCAAGCAATAACCGAGCAGTACTAAAATAAGAACTAGACATAGGCAGTGGAATGAGAACAATCTATCCCTGTAGATTAAATAAAGGTTTCAGTTTGAAATTATCTGAAGCTTAAAAGGTTGAGATACACCTGATAAAAGCTGGAGAGCACAACAGAAATGGCATGATAACAACAAAGGTGAGAACAATAGTCCATATATGACTACCATTTTCTATAATTTTTTCCCTCCATTCTCACTACTTGTATATATGTTGCTAGGCCAGAAAATCATTTGTTTTTATTTATATTTATATATATATATATATATATATATATTTATATATTTAGGCAGCAATCCTTCCTTTATGCATGTTTCATTAAAAACGACAGAAAAAGGTACTACAGTTGAGCTTTTTTATTTAATTTTTCTTGTGTTCTGAAACACAGAACATTAGGACAGTTCTTACACACTCTTTGTCCAGAAAAGAAAGCTCTTGTCAGAACACAAGAAAAATTAAATAAAAGCTCAACTGTAGTACCTTGTCTGAATTGTCTTTTTAATGAAACATGCATATATATATATATATATATATATATATATATATATATATATATATATATATATTGATGCATGTTTCATTAAATGATATAGACAAGTTTTGTCTCTTTATTTTAAGTAAATTCCTTTCATGTTGTCTGATACATGTTTTTTAATCCTGTCTATGTTTTTGGCTTACATAAGCCATTATCAAAGATGACAAATTACATTTCAATATATTAAACAATACACGGACAAAACAAGAATGATAGTCTGTTTTTGTTGCATGAGAAATTTCCAAGCAACGACAAACTCATGTATACAAGATGCCGAAGCGAAAATCGCACCACAGCTCGTGACGTCACACATGGCCATGCGAGAGTGAGAATGAGAAGTATTAAGTATGGGAAGCTGTTGGTATAAACCAATGGCTTCTATTACCAATTATAGGCATTTAAGAATATTTGTGGAGAATTCATAGTTTATTTTGTTCAGGTAGGTTTCAACTGTTTTATGTATATAGCTTCAAAAATTTTTAGTTTTTGTTTATTGTTTTCATGTTTAAGTATAGTTGTGTTTTCAACAAGGATTTTCTGGAATTGTGTATGTAAGCCAAAAGCTTAGATAGGATTAAAAAACATGTATCAATATGGTGTTTTTCTTTCGTCTTTCAATGATAATGTTATTAAGCTTATCAGACAATATGAAAGGAACTTACTTAAAATAAATAGACAAAACTTATCTATATTATTTAATGAAACATGCATCAATGAAGAAAAATGCTGCTTAAATACACACAATAAATATATATATATATATATATATATATTTATATATATATATATATATATATATATATATATATATATAAAATGACAGTTGTGTATTTAGGCAGCAATCCCTCTTTTATACAAGTTTTGTTAAAGATGACTGACAAGGTACTGCGATTAAGCTTTTGTACTTTTTTTTTTTTTGTGTTCACACAAGTGTTTTCTTTTCTGGACATAAAGTGGGGGTAAAAACTGTCCAAAAGTTCATCCATATCCGATCACTTTCAGCTATTCTTTTAGCCATTGTCAAGGGTGATTTATATTTAACTGAATGTGTGTTTTTTGTTTTTTTATGTATGTGCTTGATGTTATATGAATGTTTTATTTTCCAAACATGTTACATTGTGGCACAAAAAAGAAAACACTTGTGCAAACACAACAAAAATTAAATAGAAAGCTTAAACACAGTCTCTTGTCAGTCATCTTTAACAAAACTTGTGTTATATATATATATATATATAAAATATATATATATATATATATATATATATATATATATATATTAATGTAGGGAAAAACTTCTCACTTAGCTGTGAGTGCATTGTAGTAATTACCTTCACACTTCAGGGCTGCTACTTCTCATTTTTTTCATATTTATGTATAGTTTCATGTAATTTGATAAAATTACTTGAAACTGTCTGGATGGGATGTATGATTTTTTTTTTTTTTTTTCCAATTAATGGGTCTTGTGTTATGTTTTTATTTTTAGGGTTTTTTGTTGTTTCTTAAGTTGTGTAGAATTTCATGATGATTGCTTTGTATTATGCTGACCTTTTTTTACCATACTCACTTAATTGCTTTATGTACAATTGGTCTCTTTTTACAGTAAAAAAATGAAGTAAATTTTCCCTTGATATGTCTCACTTAAAAATACTGTCATCAGCAGCTTTCACTTGGTGTCAAGTCACTTGCTATTTATATCATCACTAGTATATTACCCATAAAAAAAATGGCAGGCTCATTTATGGGTAGATCTGATTAAGATCAATCTGTGCATTCATCAAACTGGTACTCACCGCCATTCTATTTGGAATCAGAATGCGCTATGGAAAAATTACCCACCACACATACATGCACATGTATGCAAATTGTATTTTATGCAGTGTTAATGGTCTTGGCCTGGCACTTCAGCTTCAGTCGCTTTCCCACCACCATAATGTAGCTTCCCTGCACCTTTTTCTAGAAATCTTTTCATGGTAATTGTTCTAATGAACCTTGCTCTATGGTAGCTAGAATCTATAAATTTAAGAATGGTACTAGATTGGTGTCAAATTCACATCATTTTACAATTGAAATGACTATAGATGTAACTAAGCTCTATGCTAACAGTTTCTTCTCTTGCACTTCTTACTTGTGGAACTCTCTTTTTGCTTCTTGATTCCCAGTCAACTTTGAATTTAAATTTTTCAAGATCAATGTCAATTGTTATCTTCTGTCTCAATTTCTGTTGCTTTATTGTCCTCTCTCTCTAATGATATGTTTTCCTTTTCTTTTTTTTTTTCTTTCTCATATTTTCTCACTCAGTAACCCCTTGTGTCCCATTGGATTTATTGCCTTGTTTGGGATGAAATGATAAAAAAATGTGGATATTATTTGCAAGATTTTTATGATTAAAATAGGGATATGCAAATAGTGTAAAGTTTATCCTGTTGCATTCACTTTTACACAAAGAGTACCACAGGGTTTGATGATTGCTTACAGTGTGAAACTGCTTGTCACCATACCCTATTGATTTCTATATTCACACTGTTTATACTTACGTATATATTGTATGCTTTATCCTGATACTGATTTCTTCCAATCCCCAATAATGGGAAAATGTTATATAAAATTTGATGTGAAATTCTGGAGTTGATCAATTAGAACATTTATTGGTTTATTGAATATATAAACAAAAAGGTTGAGTTCATTGTATCATGAATTTGGCTGATAATTTAATATTTACAACATTTAGTAAAGGCGTTGGTTAGATCCAGTGACAGGACTCAAAGAGTGTGAGTTCAATACCCGGTTAAGGCAGTGGAGAACTTTCATAGGGAAATTAACAGGAGATAATTGATAACTGACATTCATTAAAACATGGCACGTAGAAACTAGAAAAGTCTACCCCAGTGAGCGAAATAAAGGGTTAAGTTTGATATTCCAAACACCTGAAGAAGGCCGGAGCATACAACAGCCAAAACGTTCTAATAAATATGGCAATAAAGATGAGGACAATAGTCCGAATAATGTAAATAATAAAAAAAAAAAAAAAAAAAATCGGAATTTACAAAACTAACTCTTGCTCTGTTTTAAATGTTCATTTTTATTGCATTATAAGAATCTTTAAATGGTCACCCATATAGTACTGATTGCTTAGAATGTTGCTTACTTTAAAACTGTTTCATTGTATATTGAATATTCAGTAATTTCTTTATTTTTTCAGGACCAAAGATTTGACATCAGATTCAGGAATTGCAAAAGAAATTGATGACAGTGAGGATAGTGATGGTGAGTTACGATGGCCTTTGACACATATTTGGTGGGGGTCATTTATTTCTTTATCTTTTGTCTTCAGTTTTCACTTGATTATCGTGTCCTGGGTATGACGATAAACTGCATCTGTGTCCTGGGTAAGACGATAAACTACATCCAACAGCAAGGCCTCTGATCAGGAGGTTTTGAGGAGTTTGGGACCACCTCTTAATTGCTGGTGTTCCCAGGCCCACCCTGACCCCGGGGTGGTAGCACCTGTTAGGGTCCCAGCTATGGGCAAATAGTTTACCCCACAACCTGACTCAAAACACTATGAAAGTGTAAAAATAGATTTTAATACCAGAAATACTTTTTAAAAAATTAGTATCAGCAATAAATATTTGAAAAAAGAAAATATTACCAGAAATAAAAATCTTGTCAGCATTAAATAACCTATTGAGGTTAATATGCCACAAAACAAACCAAACTATACATTTTTTAAAAAAAATATTACCAGCTATACATTTTTGGAAAAAATAAAGGAAATTTTGTCAGCATTAAATAACTCATTGTGGTTGATATGCTGTAAACCAAACCAAATCACTTGATTATCCAAGCATTTCCTTTTCTTTTGTAGCAAATCTCTTTGATCGTGTGCTTTTTTCAGTGGATAAATTCCTCCATCATAACAGTGACAGTGACATCTTTGCAAGTAAGTAATGATTTGGAATTCTTGAATATACTCTATCATGTGCTCACACATTAAAGACACTTATTTAAACCCAATAATAGTGTGAACTGCATTTCTTTTGTCTGTAATGCCAATTTTGGCAGGCAGTAATTTTTTTTATTTCAACAGGTTATTTTTTACACTATTTACATTATTTGAACAATTGTCCTCATCTTTGTTGCCATATTTATTACAATGTTTTGGTCATTGTACTCTCCGGCCTTCTTCAGGTGGTTGGAATGTCGAACTGAATGCTTTTATCCACTGTGCCATGAGTCCTCAAGGCATTAGCTAGATCCAGTGACATGACCCAAAGAGTGAGAGTTCAATACCCGGTTAAGGCAGTGGAGAACTTGGAGAGGGGAATTCACAGAAGGTAACTGACATTCATTAAAACATGGCATGTGGAACTAGAACAGTCTACCCCACTGAGTGAAATAAAGGGTTCAGTTCAACATTCCAACCACCTGAAGAAGTCCGGATCATACAATGGCCAAAACGTAATAAAAATGGTGACAAAGATGAGGACAATAGTCCGAATAATGTAAATAGTGTACATAATACCTCATCTCAGAAATATAGACAGATTATTTTTTATCTTATCAAAAATTGTTAAAACAGGTCTTCAAAGACAAAAGGAAAACTTAGTCAACATGTTTTGTCCTCTGATGGACCTTATCAAGACAAAAGTAAGGATTTTATTTTGCAATAAGTATTTAAAAACAGAAGTAAAAATGTTAGTTTTCATAATTTTTAAATTTAAGAATGCTCATATACTTCAGATTAACTGAAAGTCAAGGTAAATTATGGAAGAGGCTAAGTGATGTAATTTATGTAAACTATGGAAGATACTAAGTAATGTAATTTAATGTTTAATAAATGAGTGTTCTTAAATTTAAAAATTCTGAGAAACATCATTTTTTTTTCTTCTGTTTCTAAATACTTGTTACAAAATAAAATCTTCACACTTGTCTTGATAAAGTCCATAAGAGGATAAACCACATTGACTAAGATAAGTTTTCTTTTGTCTTTATTTATATTGTCCTTTTACAGATATTTTTTTTAGTTATAACTGAATTTTTTATGCACATGTGTGTGTGTGATTTCTTATCAACATTATTTTTATTGGCTAAACATGTTTAAGCTGATATCCCTGTTTTTTTATATTCTTAAACAGTGAAAAATAAAAAATGGATAGCAAAGCAAATGTGTAAATAAAGTCATAGTAATAAGAAAGTTTAGGATTAAAAAAAATAAAACCCATTTATTGGATGGATGGATGGATAGACTGGTATGATTTTGTTGTTTAATGTATTTTATATTTTTACTCTATAATTTAAAACCAAAATCTTTTTTCTTTGTACTGAGATGTCTAAAAAGTTCCAATTGAAAATGAACTTGTTGGTATAATTTTATCTTTTCGGGAGGACTATTCTTCATTTGATCTTGTGAAGTGGTGCTACAGAATCACATCAACAACTAAAATGATTTGCACATATAACTAGAAGGGAAAATGATGATATAATCACGATGTTGACTTTCCACGCCATCTTAAACAAAAGGTTTGGAAGGAAACTCCAACCAGTACTAGAAAGAGCAATAACAGTTAATAAACTTGAGAAACCTATTTTCTTGAAAAACTGTTTTGAAAGATTTTATAAATTTCAATCAACAGTAACACTGTTTGATCAATGAATGCCAAATGTTTCCCTAACTGAACAAACATCAAATTTTATCTTGGAATTCTTTCTTGGTTAAGACAAAAACTTTTCAGCTCCTCCTCCTCTCTCTCTCAATCTCTCCCTCCTCACTCGCTCTCTCATAGCTGAAAAAATATAATGGTAATAGTAATGGTGAGATTTCCTTATACAGAAACATTTCGGTCAGACTGGACTTTTCAGCACCCTCTTGTGTAATTGTATGTGCACATACATATATCATGGACTCTCCTGTCATTGATCAATGCGCAACTACCGGGGACACTTTTTATGGCGTATGGGGGTCAGGCACCTCAGTTCCTAGGAACCGACAGCCGGACAACCTGCTCATCTGATTTGATTATGGTGGTGATGATTTTGTGCAGAACCAACCACAATTTTTGAAGAGCCAAATACAGAGATGTGGTGCACTGTGTGCCACAAAAGTCTCCAAACAACTTTCCACAGGTTTGAATTCAAAGTTGTCCTTCTCCTAGACCAGTTGCCATCCGAGGCTATAGAACCCAGTCTGTCCTGCAATTTGCCCATGGGGGGAAAAGAAGAGCATTAATACTTTTCCCAATGGTCTTAGCACATAGGTGAATGTAATGGATTCAACTGGAATTTGAACTCTGCTCTCTGATTACTCAATCCATTACTCTATCGTCTCTCTCACATATATACATCTTTCAAGAAGTGAGAGCAAGATCTAAAAGGTCAACCAGTCTAACAGTGATCTCGTCTCACAATCCTCACACTTGCTCCATATATGGCCTCCTTTATAAATCACTAGCGGGTCTTGAATGCCACTTAAGATTAGTGTATAAACTTTCATAACTGAATCAATAAGCTGGCAGATCCTCATACGTCAAAAACTGATGGGAGAGTCCATTATATATATATATATATATATATATATATATATAGTTTTAAGGTATGCTATATTTATGGGATAAAGTGCTCAATATCATAGATAGGGCGTATGTAAATATAAATTCACTTTTATTTATGTATATGTATGTATATGGTCATCCACATACAGGCCTGTTTCGTTGTATCACAGCTCATCCAGTTGTTTCAATCCGTGATCAAAACCCTACCAATTTGGCATCAGTTGGTGATCCTACCCCTAAACTATTGGCGCACAGCAGAGAGAAAAGGAAAATTTTACACACTAATTCTAAAAATATAGTAACTTCCCAAAAATATTTTCCATAACAAAACAATGCAATCAGGAACTCAATGCCTAAAATTTGTTCTGTTTTTTTTTTTTTTTTTTTTTTATTTCAGGTGATGAAGAACCATAGAAATTGTAAAAATGTACTGGAAAATTAGCTATAACTTCCAAAGCAGCTGCCTTATTTTACTGGACAGCAGAAAACCTGCTTGCTATGTAAGCATTCTGATACTGGTCTTGTTTGTTGGTGGAGATGGCTCATTAAGTTGATGACTGCAATCTCTGCAAATAGACTCTTGTGTTTTAAAAGTTAAAAGAAACAAATGGAAATGTCTTTTGATAACCAGTGTTTGCAGGAAAAAATGTCTTCATGTATGTTCTCCTCTCTCCGTCTTGTGTATGTATGCATGTACAATTTATATAATATGTACACTATGCTGTACTATGCTGTGTCTAAATTGGTTGAAAATAAGTTTTAAAAAATTTGAACTAGTTTAAAAAAAAAACTCTGGGTACTAGAAAAATACATACTTGCCTCACTTCACCCTACCCCCTCAAAAAAAGAAGAAAAATTACCATTGCTACTAAGTTATTTTCTCCTGTAAATAATGATGGACCGTGATTTAAATGTCTCCCAAATCTACTCTTAAAGCTAATTTTTTTTTTTTTTTTTTTTTTTTTTTTTTTTCTCTTCAGATATTTTTCTGCAGCTTTAAAAATCTTGTTTATGCTTTTGATCTTAAAAAAAAAAAAAAAACTAAACTAGTAATTCAGAATATGAAACCTATTGAACCAAAATCTCTAAAATTAATGATTAGCAAATGAAGAATCTGCGGCAAAATTTTTTTTTTTTTTTTTTTCCTTCAAGGCAGGCAGGCCCTACCCACTTGGAATATTAGTCTAGCATATTCTTCCTTTTATTCTCACAAGTTGGTTAAATTCTGGAAGAAACTGACCTTAGTCAATATAGCTATAAGCAATGTTGGAGAATACACAGTATATAAAAATTTATATCCAGGAGAAAGCTGTTTCAATAATTTATATTTTCGTTTTCCAATATTCAGCCTCTTGTAAAATTTTGATTATTTTTAGGTGACAAAGTTAGTCTATTTCTCTACGTCCATGTCTTCTAATTAATAAATAGGGCTCTTGTAAAGTAACCTTCACCAAAGAGAGCATGAATTTGTTGAAGAGTGATTTTAAATATTGTATGGGTAATTTGGAATTTTGGTGAGAAGAGCAAAAGACATTGTCATGTCATCATTTAACTGATGAACATATGTAGTCAGATATTTCTTTTTTTTTTCTTTTTTTTTTTTTTTAGGTGGGGATATAGAGTAAAAAGATTAGGACCCATTGCAGATTAAAGATTTGTTTCATTTCTAGAATATAGTCCATGGGAACAAAACTTGAATGAATCCTTGAGTTCAAATTGGTTGGGGGAAAAATTTTGTTGATGTGAATTTAGTTCTTGAAACACCCTCTCTGTCTCTCCTTTTTGTATAAAATACAAGTTGTTGAGGAAAGGAAGGAACTCATTTCAAATTTTCAATAGGGATAGAACAAATATTACCTGAACGTAAATCTAGAAATGAAACTGATTTGAATTCTGTGATGAACAGTCACATAGAAGCAAGTAAGCCAGAGTTGCTTGCATCTGGTGCAAAGGAAAATAAGTGTCTTACCTCAACATACGGCAATTGGCATTAGCATTTTGCTCTTTGAAAATGGCATTACTCTCCCATCTACCTATTCCAGAAGTATGTGCTGTAATGGCTTATTTTTCTGTACATAGGTGTGTACATGCATTTACCTGAATGGCAATAACTACAACACAATTTTTTTGAGAATTGGGTTGTTTGAACAGAACGTTAAAAAAAAAAATCAATTGAGCAAAGTGTAGAATTCTTGTCTTGTATATTTTTTGATGGCATGTGGTAGTGGGGCATAATGAAACAAAAATTTCCCTCTAAATCAGCAAGGGAGATAACCTTTGTCAATAGGCATTTAAATTAAGAAGCAAAATGAAATTTTGTGATATTCAAGCGATTTTTTTTTTTTTTTTCTTTATTCCTCTATTCCTTTCACAACTGAAATGCATAGACTGCTTTTCTTATATATTAAATGTCCTAATTTAAAAAAAACTACGAAAAAAAATTTTATTTTTCATTCAAAAAAATCCTAACCTGTAAAACAAATGCCATTATATATTGTTTGTTTTTTTTTTTTTTTGTTTGTTTGTTTTTTTTTTCCTTCCCAATGTCCTTAAACCATTTATTTTGTTTGGTACCTTCAGTGATATTGTGGTTATAACAACAAAGATGAGGACATTAGTCTAAATGTAAAGAATGATAATTCCTCATTCCAGACAGAAAATATTCTGGCACTATTAGAAATCTGGGATTGATTGGTCACTAAATCTGTATTTTTCTAAAAATAGGTTTATTTTTATCTTTATTCTTTTTTCCCCAGCCCCTTGTCAGTTAACTTGTGTATGAATTTGTTGTTAGATTGAAGATCTTTATTTTTTAGCCATCATCTTTTCTTTTGATATTGATTATCTATGCACCAGACACAAGCACAAAAAAAATTCAATCTTTATGATCCAACCATGTTTTTTTTATTTTGACATAATAGAGATTTTTTTTTTTTTTTTTTTTTTTAAGCTAATGCTTTGGTAATTGATTTATAAATTTTAATTTTTTTTTCTTGAAGCATTAATTAGCAGTAAAACTTTATTTAAAATTTTTGGCAATATTAAATATTTTTGCACTAAAAATGAGAAATTTCTAAATATTTTCATAAACAGATAAGCTACAAAAAAATCAAGAATTTTTTTCTTCAAGTGAATTTGCTCATTTACTGTTTAGTTCTTTTGGCTTAGACTTAAGTCTGTCACACAACATAAGCATTAAATGGCAAAGTCAGAAAAAAATTAAAAACAACATTGACTATTGATGACAATTTGTCAAAATTTTGCACCAACAAAAATGTAAAAATTTCTACTTTTTCTATTGGAAAGTGCGTTACTCCATATTACCACAAACTCAGAAGATACAACCATCTCTCCAAATCTTTAAGTTTTGGATTTTGTTGAAATTGAAATTATTTTATTTGTCTTACAACTTTGAAAGATGAATTATGAGAGGTTAAGTTAAAAGAAACACTTAGCAAACATACCTCTTAAATTGCTTTACATAAATGCCTACATTTTTCAGTGATATAGACAGATACATTTTTCAACATTAATTTTTCAGAGAATATATCCTCTGCTCAGTTAGACATGAAGTCTGGCATTATCATTTAACACACTTGTTGCCTAAATCTATAAATCATGACTGATTGTCAGTCAGTTATGTGCCATACAAACTTAAATGATTATGTATCTTTTGATACATGACTGGCGAGGCAGATTATTTCCCGCAGTAGGTTGCCATTTCTTTCTGCAGTTGCCATCCAAGGCTATAGAACCCGGTCTGTTCTGCTATTTACCCATTTTGGGGGTGGGATTCATACCTTTCCCAAGTGTATTTAGCACATAAGTGAATGTAATGGATTTGACTGCAATTTGAACTCGGCTTTCCGATTCCTCAATCCGTTCCACTATCCATTACTCCACCGTGCCTCCTACTGACTGATTGTAATGAAGAAATGCTTAGAATACAACATTTTATAGAATTCCCTAAACCAATGTTGAAACATCGGTAGGATTTTAAAGGTACTGCTCTGATCACTTCTAGGTCACCCACCAGCTCACTGCCCACACGGAGATGACACCAACACAATGAACTTGGCCTTTTTGTTCACTTTGATTGTAATGGACCATATCTTTTTAATATTCACCCTCAGGTTTGAGAGTCTTAGCCCTTCCACTACTCTGTCCAGACAGATCTGCATCCCATCCGGTATTTTAGTAAAGAGTGTGACATTGTCATCATAGACTAGCAAATCAACCTTTATTGTGCCTATCAAGTAATACCCCTTTTGCAGTGGTCAGCAAATACGCAAATCATTGCATCGTAACTGAAGTGTATATAGTTCACTAGCAGGGCCCCATACCTCTCCGCAGTCCATGAAATGAAATCGCAGTTGACTGTATCAAACTACTTCGATATGTCCACCATAACAGCATAAAGGTCAAGGATGCATTGATTGGAATGGCAAAGAAAAGCATACATGGCTTCTGATCTATTGTCTATCGATTTGAAAGATGAACTGCTCCAATAACTCGGTCACCTCAGTCCACCACCTTCCAAGGATTTTATGTAAACAATGGATTATCACTGATGATATTGTTATTGGACGGTGGTTTGACAGCTCCTGCACCTTGTTGGGTTTCAGCACCAGCATCACCCTCTATTTGCAGAATGTCAGTGGGGCAGTTATTGATGGAATGCTTTTTCACAAGATATCATGTGCAGTGAGGCTGTCAAGACCCGGTGCATAGCTGCACATGGCTTTCAGGGCTTCCTTGACATCTGAATCACTTGGAGGAGCGAGTAGCTGCCACCATATCTGATCCTTGATAACAACAGGTCAGGTGTTTGGCTCACCTGACTTGGACAATACTTAGCACTAGTGATCCACCGCCCCATACAGAAGTTTGGTTTGCCTTCATGCATGACCTCCAGTCTCCCAAGTACATTGGGAGTATATTGGTTGCTCATTGTTTCCACATAATGGAATAACAATATCTCTTCCTGTAGGTACCAAGTGCCCATATCAGGTTTTATTTTGGCTAACTTCCAAGTGGGAAGCATAAAAGAAACAAATCACTCATTGCAGAGCCTCAGCTACTGTCGAAGGCTTGCCTTAATAGTCATGTCAAGCAATTTTTAGCCTGTTGCGATATACAATCCTGAGAACCAAAAGATGCAACAATGTCAAAATGTTGGTAAGGTTTTAGAGGCGCTGATCTGATCAATTCCAGTCATCCCTGTACGATGTGCCAAGGAACAATGACCTTGAAATTACAAACTCTCCTCAGGTAGTCAAACATGTCTAGGAATAAGAATCTACCTTCCACTAGTCACCAAGTGCCCTTGCTGATTTTTATTTTGGCTAATTTATCTGTGTTGTATTCTGCTGGATAGGCAGATTCCCTGTGCAAGGGCTGCTTCAAGAAGCTTT